ATATATAGTTTAGGAAGGTAATTTAATGGAATCCAAAACAAACAAGTTACATCTAAAATTTATTTAACATATACAAATCTTCAAGTTGTCTGCAATGACTAAACAGCACCATAATACTTTCTTACCCAATACACTTATCAACAAGTCTAGGTTTTGGGCAACTGAAGTGGTATTGCTAGAAATAATAAAGCTGGCCACTACTGTTTCTTTCAATTAAAAATCTAATAAACTAGTTGAAAAGTGATATGGAAGCCATTAGTCAGTTTCTACTGGGTTCAGCCTGTCACGCTGATACCAAGAGGTCAACTTCCAGCAAAGAATAGCTGAGTTACAATACAAATTCTAACTGTGTTTTAGTATTAACACACTATAGAAAATTTTCCATTAACTTTTTTGGCTCTAGACACAGGCTTCAATAAGTGAGAATATTTTCTTAACCCATCAGAAACTACAATTAAGCAAACTGCCACATTTCTGATATCTTAAAAGTTCTTGCTATCTATAAAAGAAAACAGATAAGGAATATTCAGCTGTACAACAAATGATCAGTCAACTTCTACAGTTGTTTTATAAAATGAAACAAAGAACTCTCTTAATGTTAAATATAAATAACCAAAATAAAACTCAAGTGTATTTGGCTTTGTCAAAAACAATGTAATTATATGGCAACCAATGAAAGTTAGTTGAAAGATTAAATTTTTCAAACTAACTACATATCTAAACAGACTGCTCTTTTTGCTTTTGCTTTAGGAACAGTATAAGGTACGTACTGTAAAATACATTCTGTCCTCATGTTTGTTTCATGCCATAACTTAAATCTTATATAATATTAATTTATACTGCTACACCAGAACTACTTAAAACTGATTAAATAAACAAGTTACTATACATTTTAAACTTTCTGCTCCAAAAGTGACCATTCAAATACATTTTGGTAAGGAATACATAATATAAAAGATATTTTGGTGGAAAGTATCTTTAGAGTGACACACACAAGCAAATAAAGCCTAAGAAAATTTTATAATTTGTATGCTACACAGACCAAATCTTAGTATGACACATGCAGTACTTTTTTCTAATGAAAGAGATGCAGTTGAGTGCATGAGTGTTATCTAAAACTATGCCAGAAGACACAAACACGTTGCCAGGCAAGGTTAAAAGAATCTAACAAGCTTTGTGTGAATTTTGAAAACACTGTTTGCACTCCTATTAAATATAGATTGATAGTAATACTAATAATATTCAGCAAAATCAATGAACAGAACATACACTATTTAAAATTTGTTAAGCAGAAAGATAAACCAAAATATTTTTTGCCAAAAAGGAACTCCAATTCCTTATGTTTTTAAAAGTTAAAAAAAAAAAAAATTCAATGCAGCAGTTGTAAGAAAACAACTGTTTTATTCCAAGTCAGTACAGTGGATGTACGAAACACTACCAAACAAATTTGGTGTTCCAACATTTCTCATCAGAAACTAAATCATAATTGCCTCAATACCTTGGTCTTATCCCTCCTCCAATTTTTCAATTTGAAATATTTTCAATTTGAAATAGTTTTTGTGGCTTTTACTGAGAAATCATGAAAAATAGCACAAAATTAAAGTAACTGCAGTGTACTGTTCAGGATATATTTTTTGCATTAAAATACAACAAGTGGTTATTTCATATGATAAAAGTCAACAGAATAGGCAAATCTTTTTTTTTGAGACAGGGTCTCACTACATAGTACAGACTGACCTTGAACTCTTGGCTATCTTCCTGCCTCAGCCTCCCAAATGATGGGATTACAGGTGTGAGCCAACATGCCCAGCTAGAATAGGCAAATGTTTAATAATAATAATAATAATAATAGGAATAATGATGTACACAAAATAAAATGAAAAGAAAAAGCATGTTTATAATCTTACATAAAATACAGACTGTCCTTTTGGTTTATTTTGCTGCTTTGTCCCATGCTAGTACCATGTGATTTTCCCCCTTATAACAAAAGTCAGCTTTATGCAAAGCAGTTCATGCATACACCTTGCATGTATGCATTACATGTAAGTATTCATACCTATCCCAGAGGCTCTTTGATTCCTGAAACGTGTTCAAATGGAACGCTTGGTAGAAAGCAGTTGAAGGATTCCTGTGAGATCCAAGAATCAAATGGAAATGAAGTTGAGAATGTACAGTATAATCACTACTTTTCCAAAAAAGGGGAAGAGGAATCTTAATACAGTGCAACTGCTTTAATTTAAAACAAAAACAAATGGAAAAAAAAATAAGCAGGAAAACCATGTAAGCTTTAAAACAACTCTGAAAGAACTGAAAATGAGACAAAAATCGCATAGACCTCAACAATTTAGGCCCAAAGAGAGAGTAACAGTAGACAAAATTAAACTCTAGCATCCAACTGTGTGTGTGTATATGTAATATGTACATATCAATGTGAGTAGTTTATAGGCCTAGCAACACTTTAACAAAGCTGTTTCCAGCATAGTATTCATACAGGATATGAAGCTACACACCAAGTGGAAAGGTCTGATAAGGAACAATGAAGACTCCTTTTCTGAGTTGAACATGACATTTTTCCACTTTCAAAACTGTTTTATGTATGGTTTTTCTGGGCTAGGACATCTCTGTATGGAAGTTAATTCCCTACATTGGTGCCATGACCCTTAAAAGTGTAAGTCTACTCACTATAATCATCATTCATTTCTACATTCCCTTAAGACATATTTCCTACAGCTAACACCATAGAATCTTTTATTTATTTATATTTTAGGGAAGGGTCTACAGGGTGTTCAGGGTCTCACTACTAGATCGGACTCATAGCGATTGGCCTGTTTACAGTCTCCCAAGAGCTGGGATTGTAGGTGCACGAAATAATGCCCAGTCTCAATTGCCATCTCAGCGTGCCCTACGGGTGGGGCCAGCATGGCAGGCCCAGGTATCCAGTCCCAGACCCTGCGCCTGCTTGCAGGCTCTTTAATTTGCTGAGCTATTGGCTGGCTCTGTTTTGTTTTTTTGAAACAGGGTTTCAATATGTAGTTTAGGCTGGCCTTAAATATATTAGGTAGACCAGACTGGACTTCAATTCATGGTGATCCTTCTGCTTCAATCTCCAAAATGCTGGGATTATGGACAAGCGCTACCACATCTGGCTACAGTACAGAAACTTATCTGATGAATTCATCAGATAAGATTCCTACTACGTAGTAATTTCCTACTATGTATGATTCACACTTAGTATCTCAGGCCAGTTTTTCAGGAAATAAACTTTTAACAATTTTCCCTCCTCTTCAGCATATTTGTATGGTCTCCCTGACCATCTCTTTGTATTCTTGGGGGAAAAAGTACTTGTCACGTAACTTTTAGAATTCTTGACCAACAGTATAGCAGAGTAGTATAGAAGCTAAGAATGCTAAGTGGTATATATTATAATCAGACACTACCCTAAATGCTTTACATTTATTAACTCAATTTTTCATGACAGCCCTAACAAAGAGGACTGTTGTTAGACCCATCTCAACAGATTAGAAAAATGCATAGACAGAAGTAAACTGCCTGCTGTCGCAAAGCTAGTAGGTAGCAATCCGGCCCTCGGGTTTATGATCATAAATCATTAGCACACAAGCCAAGTGTATGGAGTTGTTTTTTCTAAATTAAAACCTCAGTATTCAGATTTAATTGCAGTGTTAGCACTTTACAATAAATAAGTAGGTTTTATACTTGGTCTCTAAAAGGTTTGCTATCATTGATGTACAGCTTCCTGGGATACACTCAATGCTCAACAGCTATTATTCTACATTCAAAGGAACTACAATCAATTGCAATTCTGATACCCTAATAGTGCAAGGCAAAGTAAGAAAACCATTTCCAAGGTCTACTGGAATAGTAGTCAAACCTCGATGATCATCAAACAAGACAGCAGAATTCTGACTTAAAAACTCAGATTAAGACTCATTTAATTGTGTTAAATGTTGAATTTAAAAATTTAACCATTAAGTACTTCTTTTTAGATAAACCAGAAAAAGCAGATAGACACTAGCTGTCAGAACACCCTCAAAGCTGCTGTTTAATTGATTAGGATTCTTTAATATATACTTGTTTGCCCTGCTCCAAAGGCTTTCCAATCTTTTAACTTTCTCTGCTTTTAACTAGGTGTCTATTATCAAATGCACTGATTAGACATGTCAATAACAAGGTTTAAGAGGCTTCTAAGTTCTGTTTAATGTAACATCTTACATCCTCTCAAAATGCATGCCTTTTTTCTTTTTTGCTGTGCTTATAAATCAATGTGTCAAATCAAATGAAAACCAACCAAAAACTTAATCTGGCTTAAAAACAAACAACAAACAGGCCTGTCTAGGACCATATAGTAAGTAGTTTGCTATCATCACAGATCTGTTTGAGGACAAGTCTAAACAGAATGAGTCTGAGAGGAAGGTAATAAATATAGAAAGAAAACAGTAAGCTTGAAAGTTATTTTCCAAGTTTAGAATTAAAAATTCATCAAAGGAAGGGCTGACCAGATAGCTCAAGTGGATTAAAGCACCTGCTTAGGCAAATGCAGAGGCTGGGGGGTTTCATCTTTAGCCTGCCATGCTGGCCCTGACCCCAGGGCATGCTGAGACTGCCATTAAGACTGGGCATGGTGGTGCGCCCTATAATCCCAGCATTTGGGATGTTGAAAAACAGGAAGAATCAATACAAGTCGGATCTGTGTAGTGAGACCTTGTCCTAAATACATTTAAAAAAAAAAAAAATCATCAAAGGATATTCACTTTAGATATATTTTAAAACAAATATATATATATATATTTATTAAGATAATTTTAAAGAAAGAACCTCAGATCCTCTGACTTTGGAAATATTTAACTTGCTAAATAAATTAGTTTGGTTTCAAATGAAGTCATAAGACTTCAGTAATGAAATATCAGCATTTTTTAATGGCATAACAGTAAGTTAATGTAAAGTAAAAACAGAATGGTACCTAGAGTTAATGATAACTCCTGGATGTAAAAAGCACTTGTGAAATAGAATAAATGGATCCAAAGTCTTTCAAAACACACCAGAATACCCTTAGGTTACAAGAGGTGACAATTAACAATTAAAAACATTCTTTTTTTATATACAGAAAATGAAGCCATTTGTAGTTTCAACAGAGATGTTATCTATAAAATGCTTCATTAAAAAAACAGCAAGATGTTGCCTCAAAATACTCATGAATAAGTATAGTTAAAATGAATCAAGTCTATGAAACTTAAGTTGGACATGGGAGGAAAAGACATCATAAATATTAACACTAGTCATTAAAGACAACTGTTTTGGAATGCATAAAAATTGAAAGAAGAGCTCAAAGGAAAACTGCTAACAGGATCATTCCAAGGTGACAGTCTATAAAACCTAAAAGCATCAAGAGGTAACTAAAATGTAAAAAAGCAGAGAATTTTACAGTTTTGGTCACAAATTCTCTTCCGCCCAGAAAAAAGAAATTTAAATCAGTTTTCTAACAGCTCATCTGATGTCAATATAAAA